TGGAGATCAGCGGTTGTTTACCAAAAACAACGGTAAACACTTCGGAGATGATTTTGTCTGATCAATTCCTTGAGAAGTAGAGATCATTTGTGAGGAATGTCTTGAAAAAGGAGAGGGCAAGTTTTGGGATACAATAGCAAGGATCCCACTTAAGGATCCTGTAATTGATCGCCTCATTAGATGGAAAAGATCCCACTTAAGGATCCAGTGATTGATTACCTACTTGGGCGGTAAGGATCCAACAATTGATCACCTCATAGGGCGGCAAGGATCTCACTTAAGGATCCAACGATTGATTTCCTCATTAGAGACAATCTTTTCATGCATTCTCTAGATTCATGCAATGAAATGGATAACCAAACATACAGATTTTAACATAATGGAAAATGAGGTGCCTCATTAAAAATCCTTGCTCCTTGTAAGAGCAAAGAGGGAAAATAGTGTTCCCTATAAAGTAAATTGTTCTTTATAATTGGAAGAGATACAATACTCGCCAGCAAGACTAAAACAATCAAACAATATTAAATAAAAACTAATGGCAGCTATGTTAACGTCTTTAGAAGCTATTTATTTATGAATGATTAGCCTTCAACTCCTTTAGAGGTTTTGGAGGAGGTTTCCTCGACTTTCTGGAATTCCTCTGAAGGTGTTATTCATGAGATCATTTTTCTGGCCTTTCTGCTCTGAGTGCGTAACATTTTTTGGCGATATCCTTAGATAACCTCCACTCGGAACATTGGGGAGCGGGTACTTTATGCACAAATATAGAGTAAACAAGGCGACACCGAACTTTTTAAAAGGTTAGTCGCCCTATAATCATATTATATGAAGATGGGACATTGTAATTAATCCTTGGCCATGCACAAGACTCACTGAGCTATGTTGTACCCTAAAATATGGAAGAAAAGTGACAAGGATGGATTTCCTCTCCAATATTCACACTAGTATTGAAAGACTTTGATATAGGCTCAACTCAAAGGGTTGAATTGCGAGGGGGGAATGATCAGGTGGTTTATAACTTCAACTTCAAAACCATTGAAAGGAAATCAGAGACCTAAAACTGAAAAACTACACTCATAAAAAGGGATGGCACACCCACTACATTTGATGAAGATTTCCTTGTCTTCTTCATGGATCAGTACACCCTAGTTTGAAGAAGGACCCATTTCAATAAAATCCCTTTCGATATCACTTTCACGAGTAAAGATAAAAAAGATTGCCAAAATTATAGGGTCTTCCCAAGAAACAATAGTATTCTCCTTTTCCCTTTGATGCATGGTGGGTCAGTTAATAAAGTTAGTATGTTGCGAGAATGCATATGACAAAAGAACAAAGGTAATGAAAAAAACTATATAATTATTCTGAAAAGATCATGAAATGTCTCATTGGAAGAAATGAAATAAGCATTATCAATATTCTAGATTCCCTTTGAGAGATACTCGAGTACTCTAGTTCCCAAAGGTCGTCATGATAAAGTAGATGAACATACATGTAAAGCATTGGTCACATTTAAGACAATAATTCTCCATGAAAATAATGTCGCATCTCGACTTTTCGCTCTAGCCGGACAACAACCGATAGAAAAAGAAAAATGCGTCGTAGTCTTCTCCTTGTAGAATAGAGGCAAGGGTTTCGGGGGGCAACTATTCTGGGATGAATAGATGGCCCAGTAATTATGGCCTATATAGATGATTGATCCACCACATCATATGCGGTGATCACGATCCAAGATCAATCAGACAAATCTTTGTAGTTAACACTAATAGGTTAGCGAGTAGTCATAGCCTCTTTACTATATAAGGGGGAACACACCATTTCTCAGGTACAAATTGAATTTAAATCTCATTCACATCTTAGTCCCATATTGACTTAGGCGTTAGAGTGCTAACTTTGTGGGCCAACCTCTCGTTCACTGCACCAGAAGCTCAAGTGCACCGCTACAATCCACATCCTTCGATCACCGATCAATTCTAATTCTCTCAAGGGACAAGAATAATAAATTATAACACTTGCAATCACTATTGAAGAGACAAGTTAGTTAAGATAATTACTAGAAAAGATCTTTTTATGGGAAAAATTAATGTCAATTATGTTGGTCTATTACGATAGTAGCACAACTATTATAAAAATTAAGAGTCATTACTGCAACAATAAGAGAAAAAAAAGTATTTTGTAAGCACAATATTGTTAGAGATTTTTATTGTAGTGGATGATCTTTGTATTAATGAAAACTTATCTAACTTTTACAGAATGATTAGAATGATTAGATAAAGAAAAAGTCATAAACACGTCTATAAAGATGGAACTATTGTCTTTAGAATAATCAGTCACTCATGACGGTAACATGATCTAAAAGACTGGAGGTCCAAAAAATTATGTTTAAAAGGGAATAACAAGTTTTGAAGTGATACAAATTAAATATGTTAGTATAAGTGTAATAAAAGATAGGGTGATGTAATAAAAGATATGATGATGTAATAAAAGCTCTTACTCAGACCTCATATGGAGTGGAGAATTCTCTTAATTGACTCACCTATCTGAATGTGTAAGTGAGACTCATTCCTATGAAATTTTAGACAATTCTTAGAGATTGAGATAGACGTAGAAGAACATTAAAACATGTGATTTTTTTTAAAAATACACACTATGAAAAAAATTGTTTGTGGTTTTGATATTAGAGATATAGTTCAAGACTACAATTATCCTAGTTGAATAGAATATTACTTAATGTAACGTTTGTTTATGCATTTATTTATAGTTGTATTTATTGGTATTTATGAAATCTTTTTAAAGTAAAGTGGGCGATTGTTTGAAAAATGACAACCTGTGTTAATAATGTGTATGGTAGTGAATTGAAAAAAATTCTTTAAATCTCACACATGAAAAATTACACAATTTTCTTCCATTCTCTGTTTATCTAAACTTGATACCTTTTTAATTTATCTTTTCTCCCTCTTCGAGTTTTCAAGTCCCTTTCCTTTGCCTTCTCCTGCTCATCAATTTTAAAATACTATTTTAGTCATTTTCATAGTTAGTTTTTATGGATATTTATTCTCCTCAAAGATCTAAGTGGTTTATGTATCAATTTTTGAGTGGTATTTGTTTCATATTTTAGGGTGTATTTCTAAAAAGGATAATGTAATGTGAATGACACTAGTGTAGAAATGACTTTTTATATTGGGTGAAATTGACTTTTTACATCGGTTCTAGGTCCGATGTAAAGTCAGGCGATATAGTAAATCAGGGACTTTTTACATCGGTTCTGGGCCCGATGTGAAAAAGACAGTTAACACATCGGTTATAAGCTAAACCTGATTTAAAAAAATAATTATAACATTATTTTAAAAAAAAATTGACGCAACATTTTACATCGGACGAACGTGTGGACCGATGTAAAATATACCATTTTTACATCGGTTGGACTTAATGCCCGATGTAATAGATACAATGTTGACAGTTTTTACATCGGTTGGTAGTAATGACCGATGTAAAATATAAGCAATTTTTTTTTAATAAATTATTTATTTTCTTGATGATTTCGTGTAAAAAAAAATTGGTACCCATTTTTTCAATATCAGACAAACTAAATTTAGGTCGTTATATATATGTCATAGCTTTCCAACATCACATAGACAACATCTAGGTCGATATTTTCATATTTTTCACAACAAACTTACAAAATGAACAATTGTATTGCAAACTTGAATTGTATCACAACAAACTTACAAATATTCTTCACAAAACATACAAAAATATTCAACTATTTATAAGTCTTTTTCCAAACTTGAATTACCAATATAAAATCCACAAGTAGATGAGTTATAGCTTCGGTAGACAACACCAAAATTACATTGCCTGACAATAAATAATAACAATTAACACTAGTGCAGAAAAGACTTTTTACATCGGACGAAAAGTACATTTTACATTGGGTCTGAGTCCGATATAAATCTAAGTAAACTGTATATACATTCTATAATTTTTGTGGTACTTAGTATACTCTCATATATCATATATTAGTAACATCAATAACCTTGAAAACTATATATATATATATATATATATATATATATATATATATATATATATATATATATATATATATATATATATATATATATATATATATATATATATATATATATATATATATATATATATATATATATATATATATATATATATATATATATATATATATATATATATATATATATATATATATATATATATATATATATATATATATATATATATATATATATATATTTATTCTTTCTGCCATATAGTAATTTTCATTTCATAAGTAGTAGCTAAATGTAAACAAATGAATAGCTAATATATATACTGTCATAGCAGTAACGTAGAAAACAAATGGAACATATTAGGTTCACTTCACTATAAATAATTGAAAATCTGGGATTAATATGTGGACAATTTGTTTCTCTTTGAAATCCATCTTTCTTCAGACCCCGCGTTCATTCAAAAAATCCAGGAATCAAAATTTGCACACCCAATACATAAGCCGAAATAATTCGAAAATCTAGAAATCAAAACTCAGGAAATAAACCAAAGAAAGAATAATTTGATTCACTAACAGTAGCACTAACCCAAACAATTGATTTCTTTACTGTCACCTAACTAATTCTTTTTACCAACATAACCAAATGCTAGCTCACTAACTAACCTCTAATCGAATTACTAACATAAATTAAATCAAAAAAACAAGGAGCAGAAACATAATTCCAGATCAGCATGCTAACAACCATAACAAAATTGTAACTTCCTAAACAACAATGACAATTGCAACTAACTGTAAGTAACATTATATAAAATGTTTTCAGAGAGAATTCAGAGATACAATTATTAACACAATAAAAGGGATAGAGAAGAGGAATCAAAGAAAAACGTATCAGAGAAACTCACCAAAATATCATAACTTCTCTCTGCTCTCGCTCTCTCTCTCTCTCTCTCTGCATTTCTCAGATTCTTTCTTTGCACTATTTCTTCAACACTTCTCTGCAATTGAATCGGCTTTAAAATTCATCATCACAATCTTCATCAATCTTACTTCAATCAACATCACAACAATTTCAATAATCTACAACTAACGCCTTCGCTTCACATCGACGCATGCAATTCAACAATCGGAAAAATGAATCAAAGAGAAGCAGAATTCATGGAAAATGATGCTTAACTTATTTGGTGGAGCTTTCGTTGATTTCTTGACATCGACATCACATTGAAGAAGCACCTGATAGTTCTTCCGATAGGTAACCTCAAAATACTTATCATTTCCCCATCGTTGTATATGTAATAGCACATAACAATGTCGTTGTTCACTTCTGTTTCAGATTTCACTGAGATTGCAACCGAACCTTGTGGCCGATGAAGGAGCTACAATGTTGAGATCAGAAAACAGACGGAGCTTCGAGGCCAGAGGTGATGATGATTGAGTGGCGAAGCAGCGGAGATGAAAGCGGACTTGAGAACGACGTCGTTTGTGACTGGAAAGGGGGAATCGCGCCTTGGTACTACCTGTAAAAACATCACTGAAATGATAATATGAATAAAAAAGTATACCCATTAATGTCTTGAAACAAATAGTGCCTTCTGTAAAAATATCATTTTGATGAACAACCAATCATTGAGAAATAACAAGTTTTCATGTAATGTTCTAAATAGAAGAAAAATTATACAAAATTAATACTATAAAATCTAAAAAATAATATTTTCAAAGGAGTGAATCTAACATTTTGATTCTTTAAAATTTATCTCATAGAAAAATCAAAAACCTAACCAATTTCTTAGTGAAAAAATATTTAAGGTTCTTACCATATAGGAGTACAAAACAAATGAGAAGGGTCTTTGCATGCTGTGGCGGAATAACTAACGACAAGGAAAAATGGCAGCGGCGGCGACTATTAGAGAAAACCCTTTTTTATTGTGTGTCTCGGCGGAGAGTTTCAGGATGTGAGATTTAGATAAGTTAAACCAAAAAGAAAAGTAGAGAGAGATGCATCTTGATATCATCAAGCGTTTCGCATTGGCAGAGATTGTTGTAATTGGACGTGGTGAGTAGATCGAAACAGTGACCGCAGATGATTGCCTCAAGGTAACTGCCATGGATGTTGAAGGTGAGAGCTTCGAAACCGTACATGGTGAAACGGATCTAGATTGTGGTCGGGTTTGGGAAATGGATCGAAAATTTTGGAGGGAGATAGAAAGAGAAGCACCTCCTTCAGAGAAAATCTGAACGATGGAGAAGAAGAAAGTGTTTGGTTGTAGTTCTTCTACACAAAACAATAATTGTTATTAAAGTTTAAAAAAGTAGTGAGTAAGTAAAAATGGAAATTGTATGCAAAACAGACGGAGGGAGTTCGCAGTGGTGGTGGTGGTTGAATGAATGAATGGGTTTGGTATATAATATTAGCGTTTTTGATATTTAAGGGCCATTTTATTACATCGGTTGGAAATTGGACAGATGTAAGGATCATTTTATTACATCGGTTAGAAATTGGACAGATGTAGGGGTCATTTTAACTATTTACAAAACTGCCACCATATTTTTATTTTTTTTAGGATTGGATTTTTTATATCGGTTGGAAATTTGACCCGATGTAAGAGTCAGTTTATTTATTTACAAAACTGTCACCGTATTTTTATTTCTTTTAAAATTAAATTTTTTACATCATATATTTTTATATCCGATGTAAAGACCTTTTCTCAAATATAAAGTGGGCGATTGTTTGAAAAATGACATCCTGTGTTAATAATGTGTATGGTAGTGAATTGAAAAAATTTCTTTAAATCTCACACATGAAAAATTACACAATTTTCTCCCGTGCATCTGTTTATCTAAACTTGATACCTTTTTAATTTATTTTTTCTCCCTCTTCGAGTTTTCAAGTCCCTTTCCTTTGCCTTCTCCTGCTCATCAATTTTAAAATACTATTTTAGTCATTTTCATAGTTAGTTTTTATGGATATTTATTCTCTTCAAAGATCTAAGTGGTTTATGTATCAATTTTTGAGTGGTATTTGTTTCATATTTTAGGGTGTATTTCTAAAAAGGATAATGCAATGTGAATGAGTGTCGATATAAATATAATTGAGTTGTTTTATCCTAAACTTTATGGTTGATAGTATTCTTATACAATTTGGTGTTAGTGTCACTGAAATTTTTTAAAGAGCTATACATGACTCAACCCAATAGTATTATTCTTTGGTGACAAATTTTAAAAAAAAAACATTTCTTTACGAAAACATATACAAAGTATTTTATCTTAAAATATTTTTTCACTTTTAATTTTCAATGTTACTTGAAATATTTTCAAATCATATCTTCTAATTAATACTACATATATTACTATGAATTCAATATATTTTATTTTATATTTATTATAATGACAAATACATTTATATTTGATAAAGATAATCTAATAAAAATACTATTCATTTCAATTTATTTATAAGTTTTTTATAAATTTGTGAGAATTGGTGTAAAATGTTATATACTATAAGCAAATGGAGTATTATATTATTTTTTTATTTTTTTAAGTAATTTCAGGAAGTATTTTAGAAAAGAGATTGTATCTCAATTGTGTTCAAAAGAGATGGAAGAGATGAAGAAAATGTTGTGGCATAAGGAAGAAGATGAACATTATCATAGTAGTAGTTATTTGTTCTTGGATTTTATTTCTGCTACTTTTGGGAGCATGTAATAGAATATGATGCGACAAGTTTAACGTGTAGCAATGTTGGAGTGTTTTGTAATAGAATATGTGTAACAAGTTTGAATGATTGAAAATGAAGTATTTATGGTTAAAAAGTTGACATTAATGGTTTATCTGGTTTATTTTGTTGTTGCAGTATTTTGTTCATTTGATTTATTTTGTTGTTATAATATTTTGTGACATAGTTTAGAATAACTTGGGGATAAATGTTGTTACAACATTTACATGAATTTTGGACATATATTGGCATAAATGTTTGGACATATATTGGTCATAAATTTTGTTGCAACAATTACATAACTTGGACATATATTAGCCATAAACTTTGGTGCATCAGCTACATAAATTGGACATAATTTTGACATAACATGCTAAATTGATGACAATAATCCATGACACTAAATTAGAAGTCCTTGTTCAAGAGCTCTCCTATAAACTTCTCATACTTAAAGATGTTTTTCAAGATGTTTTTCATTGTCACTATTATCAGGGTCTCAGCTTTCTAATTCTTCACTTTTATACTCCATGTCTTTACTTCAAATATTATTGGGATTCCTCTTTGAACAATCACCTATAATTCTTGTAGAACAAACACATTCAATTTGGATGTAAATTTTCCCTTCTTTGGATTTTTGGTGCCCTTTACCTTGAATCTAAGTGACTTTCCATTAACTTCAACCCTATTATCATAAGTTGGTCTTTCCACTACAACTTTCAAAAATCCTTCATCTTCTTCACAAGTTTTTTCTTCTTCACTATCACGAAACCTTGTGTCTCTAACATCTTCATCACTGCTAACACCATCACTACCTTTACTGAATTGATCAACATTAGGCCTCAACACCTTGCTTACATGTCTTCAACACCATGCTTAATCCATATTTGACCATGAACATTATTTTCAAGGATTAACAATTTTTTCAACTTGTACATCATTAATGAAATGAATAAACCATTCATCAACTCTTGGTATCTTTCTCCAAAGTCTGAATCCATTATACCCCCTCTTTAATTAAGGTAATAACATAGAAAAAACTCCACTTATCAAGATCTTGCCCTTCTACAATGGTTTCACTCTCTCCCCTGTAAAACGTGTGTTTGTTGTGTATAAAGTTCTCCTCGTGGTGAAATATCACACTAAATAAGCACAAGTCTGCAATTACATTAACATGCACAGTTTAATGAAACTAACCAAAGTTTACCCACAAAGTGAAAAAGTAAATTTTCAAAACGAAATTTTATTGACCCATTGTGTAATGTCCCAGACAAATTTGAAGATTACCAGTTGACCCCACAAACTAACACAAGTCTTTTCAGCATGCTTTGTCCTCACTCATACACTTTCCGGGAAACTTTTCAGAAGATCATCCATCCAAATACTACTCCAAGTCAAGCCTCCTTAGTTATGGAGTTCTTGTTTGTTAGTCTACAAAAAGAAGATACATCTTGTTGGTATAGGTAGTATCAATCAATACTTATAGGCATTTCTTTAACCATGCAGTCTCAGGCCTGCACAACCTGAGGATCCCTCACATTCTGATGTGAATTTGGCACCGACGACCATTCTCCGCCTTCTTCGACCTCATGTGTTACATCCATTCTCTGCCCTCTTCGGTCTCAGGTGTTACATGTCCACCAGTTTTCGCTTGGTTCGTCCCTAAACCATATTGTACTGGGAGAGGTATACTCTAATACCATTTGTAATGTCCATATTGCTTTCAGGATTACCGACTGACTCCACAAACCAACACGAGTCTTTTTAGCATACTTTGTCCTCACTCACATGTTTTCCGAGAAACTTTCCAGAAGGTCACCCATCCAAATACTACTAAAATTTAAGCCTCATTAACTATGGAGTTCTTATTTTTTTTGCTACCGAAAATAAGATGCATGTTGTTGGTATAGGAAGTACCAATCAATCCTTATAAGCTTTTCTTAAATTATATGGTCCCACACATGCATAGTGTAATATGGTGGGAGAAATGACTTTTATTTTTGCGTTTTATCGCAAATGTTGCAGATAGAAAGAGTCGCCGCTGACTTTTCTTTTATCCAATAAAGGAAAGGATGAAAAGAACAGGAAAGACCTTGTGAGAATTTTTTGAGTTCGGGGGGTAGGTTATGAAAAGTGAAGGTATTAACACCCTTTTCATTTGTAGTTATCTACGGGCTCTTAATTGCTAACTCACTTTAAAAATGCTTTGTGTTTTGTGTATGTTTTCAAATATTTTGAAAATGCCTAAGTGCGGCAATTTTTGTAATGATTCTCGTATCGTTGAGAATGTATATAAAATGTTTTTTTTGAAAATATTTATGAAAAAAAATGTTGTTTTTGTAATGATTCTCGTATAAGGTAATTTGCTTTATAATAACTCTTGTATCAGTCCTCAAGAGTGTTTATAAAGCGTTTTGAAAATTAGTTGTTTTGAAAGTGTGAAGCGTTGAAATTGTTTTAGTTTGTGAACAAGCGATTACGAGTGATCTACCTAATCAAAAAAGTCTTTGTTCTTTTCCTCATCCTTTGGATAGTGCTATCATACAATTAGTTAGTAGGAAGCCTTATCATTGGATGTGAGGGACGAACGTGGGTCATCGTACAGTCATAGAAGGCAACTTGTATGACGCTTTAGCGATTATCGTAAGGGACTAAGATCGTTTACCGAAGGCAACATCGAAGGATCATCAAGGGACTATGATCTTTTAACTGAGGGTATTTGCTAAAACATTCTACGTTCGAGGGACATGACTTGTTTTATCCGAAGCAACAAGTGAGGGTAATCCTAGAGGTGCGTGTGTGTAAAGTGTTTTGATTTCACGTATTTATATTTGAGATTAGGTTATCTAATAGTTGATTTTAATCTTGCCATACAAACCCTAATTACTAACAGTAATAAGGAAAGCAGTAAATTGCAGAAATTAAATATCTTACGCTATTACAACACTTCGGAGATGAGGGTACAATTTTATGAATGGGGGAGGAAAACAATAAACTCTATTTATCTATTTACAAACTTTTGACAGTTACATAATTGAATCAGTGCGAAAAATAAACAAATGTGCGGAGATAGAAAGGGGAAAGATGCAAAAAAACCTAAATTTTTTAAGTATTTTAAGAAAATATTTTGTTGTTTCTTTGTTT